ACAGCACCAGGTGGCCAAGCAAAGAGTAGGTAACCTACCGCCCTGGGACTCCCCTGAAAGCAGGTCTCAGCCCGCAGTGTGAAATGCTGCACTACAGCCAATCCAGCATGGGAAACAAGGCACTGTTTTTAGCATACATATGAATCACAAAGTGAGACTGCAGAGCTGCTTTGAAACAAGAGAAAGCTATCAGCATGCTCAGGGGAACTCCAGTGTTTGCAGAAGTAGTGGAGAGGAAGCATAACAGCTAAGTAGGTGACTCTGGCAAAGAAGGCTAAACATGCTTAATAGCAATAGGAAAATGAGTGTGTGTGGAGTGGAGAGAATTAATGAAGTATCCTGGAAAGGGCATAGTTGGCTAGAACACTGAACAGTATGGTTTCTTTCTGTGGATAATACAGGATATAAATTTCCTTAAATAAATAAACCCTTTGAAAGGGCATAAAAACTTCTGGGTAGTATCCCAGCAGCAGAGTAAAATGATTTCTCCACAGACTTGGTTTCTTTTCACCAAGGAAGTTGGAATATTGTAGTTCTCTGAGTGGGGCTCAGAATCTCCGATGCAGAGTTCTTAGTTCCTTCATCAAAACATGTTGCCCAGGATTCTTCAGGAACATCAGAAGAGCAGTGCTGGATCAGAGCAAGGTCCACGTAGCCCAGCAGTCTGTTTACCCAAATGGCCAACCAAGCACCTGCAAGAAACTACAAGCAGCACAGGAGTGTGACAGCACCCTGCCTTTTGGAATTGCATTAAATTTAAATTGGTATAAAGCAGAAATAGATTTGTGATGCACACATTGAGACACAAAAATGTGAGTGAAGCAGCTGTCCATCAGGCTTGGGCCTTTGGTTTCCTAAGCAGGATGGAGGCTAACTCAGTGAGAGGTGGCTCAGGCCCAATATGGACAGGGAATGTGGGGGAATGACCCTGTGGGGGCATGCAGGAAGCTCTCAAACCCTGGACTGTGGTGACAACCAAGTCTAGTGGTGGCAACCCAGGATTGCATTGTGGATAGGCTTAGCATGCAGTGAGCCGCATGCAACGGTGAACATTTGCAGGGTGAGTTAAGGACAGAGGATGTGTTGTGATAAGCCTTAATGTTATCAAAAGGCACCTATTTTTAATATATAATTCCTCTTTCACAAAGTAACATGCAGTCCCCAGGAGTAAGCTTGCGATAACTGTGTCTTCCAAAACCTGAAAGTTAATGGAAGCAGAGTCCCTCAGGGAAACCCCTCTATAGTCAAATCTTACGGTCCAAAATAGAAGAGGCTGGAAATGCGTTGTGCAGTGATGATATTAATTGGTCCATGGGACTGCAGCAAAAGGCCCATTGTGTTAGGTAGATGGCATGCCTCTGCCTTTTTTCTGTAGCCAGAAAAGCATTTATTTTTCTCACTCGCATGGATAGAAAATGTAGAAATTAATACTTTTGAGAATTAATCATTCTTTCAGGACACAACTCAAGGTATTTTGTCTCTCTGAGCTATGTGAAATTCTGTCAGTATTCATCATATAGTGATGCTAATGAAAATACGGGTATGTTTTCATTGGACAATTTCTATATTTGAAAACAAAATATGTGAAGGAGACCTGAATAGTGAGATGCATTCTGCACATATTCAAAGAAGTTCTTTTGTTACTTCATAAATTGTTCATGATTTGAGATAAATTGTTCTAGAGAATTTTGGCTATGGGGCGGTATAGCAATGAAAGAAATAATAATAAGAGATTGATTTCAATTGATTTCAGTGTTGCAGACAGAATCAAATATACTCAATCACCACAGGACTCAGTATTTCTGACACCAGGTCTTTCCTTGGTGAGTCTCGCAGGCCCATGAACAAACTTCCTGTCCCTCTTGAGTGTAATCTCTTACAGAGTTAGCTTCCATATTTACTTAGCAAGTTATGCTCCATTTTTACTTAGGGAGGAACTGCCTTTCTGCTTTTACTTAGGGAAGTTTTCCTGTGGCAATCCGTAACACCTCCAATCCCAAAAAAGAACGGTGCAACTTTGACAAGCTGTTGAGTGATTCACATCTGTTGAATAAACAGTTGAATAAACTGTTGATAAACAGTTATGCAACTTTCTTAGACAAGGTGCACATCATGCAAATGGAGACCAGTTTATACAGCAGTATTCTAATCTGATTCCAATCAACATGTGCACTCTCACGAAAGCCACTTCTCTCTCACACACAAGCATGCTTTTGTCAAAGTTCTAAAATACGATGAGCCATTGGCAAAATATGGTCATTGTGCAGCATATTTCCACACTGTCATCTTAATCAAGAGCACAACAGTGAGTTGTCCCTAAATGCACTAGATGACTGAAAGAAAAGTTGTTTAGTCCTGCCTCTTTGCTTTAGTTTTTCATGGTAAACCAAGAGTGGAATGTTGGTGCATGAAATCTGTTTTAATTTCCTGGGGACATTAAAGAAACTAGAGACTTTTAATGAAACTTTTCTGTCAAGCTACAACCTCTGAAGACAATGCATTGTTAAAGTTTTAAACAATACTTTGTTGGGAGACAGGGCTCAAAAGTAATACTGGTTTGAACAAAATACTCTGTAGTCATTTGTTCTGGTTTTTTGAACAACCTTGTACTCTGGGTGTTGCTTTTGGTAAAATTCCAAAGGTAATAACAGCTCACAGGAGATACACCCAAGACTTGCTGCCTGGAGATTGAGCACCACTGCATGTTATGGATGCTGTAGCAACACCTGCATTGTTTTTCAGCAAGCCCATCCAGCATGAATGTAATAAATGTGTTTGCCCATATATTTAAACTCTTGTATGCACATTTGGGAAACCTGCCCAAATCAGATGCCCCAGGCATATGTGTACAGGTGTCTCAAGATGTGTGTCTCTGTGCATCAAGTTTACACTTGATAGGTTTGCTGTGGAGGATACTGGTATTATCCTGAAGCAGCTGCAATATGTAGAGCTACCATTAACTTTACAGTTATCAAGAGGAAAGAGGTTTATCCTTTCATTGGTTGACTTTTGCACTCACTGTATCTTGCAAATGGAGCTACATTGTCTGAAGGTCATTCCATGGGCTTTCCACAGCTGACCCTCACTGGGCAAGGCTAGTATGTGTGTGTTTCCAGTACTTAGTATTGGCTGTCTAGCCCTTCATTCACTTGGAAGCCATCAGATTAAATAGTTCTGCTTGCTTTTTGTACATGTGACTACAGAAGTCAGTGCAGAAACTATGATCAGCTATATCATAGTTGGGTCCTGGTTACCTGAAGGAGCGCTTACGTCCATATATGCCCAGCCGCCCCTTGAGATCAGCAGGAGAGGCCCTCCTCCAGGAGCCCTCAGTGAAGGAAATTAGGAGGGTGGCTACTCGGAGGAGGGCTTTCTCAGCGGTGGCGCCTAAGTTATGGAATGCGCTCCCCAGAGAGGTCCGCCTGGCGCCGTCGTTATTTGTTTTTCGGCGCCAGGCGAAGACCTTTTTATTTATGCAGCATTTTAAATGTTAATGTTATTGAATTTTATTCGGCCAGGGCGGCTTATTTTATTTTACTGTAAATATTTTAATTGTCATTGTTCAATGTATTTTGTATTCAATGTTGTAAGCCGCCCCGAGGCCTTGGCAAGGGGCGGCATAGAAATGTTTTAATAAATAAATAAAATAAATACTTTCGCATAGGCGGATGTATGCAGCTGCTCCTTTCTCCCCATGAGGGTTGAGCAGCTTTATCCACTGAGTCCTACAGAGTTTCCATGTTTGTTGATCAGATGAGGTCTGCAGCAACTCAGCTCTTGATTATCAGCAGTCACCCTGAATTTTCCTGTCTTCACAAATTGATTTTGCACTTTGTGTAATGTAATGCTGTGTTGGAAATCAGTGCATATCAACCAGATGACCTATCCAGAAAGCAATCTTGAGTGGGCACAGAAGAGAGCATCAGGAGGAATGCTCTTTCTCACCCACAGCCCTGCCAGCTCGCTCTGCCCAGGGTGGACATGGGGGTGGGGGAAGGATGTTTGTTTTTCTCTGCCGAGCAGCTATTTTTATTATAGTTCCCCACCCTGGTGAGACAGGATGGAATTCTCCTATTTCAGTTCCAGATTGGTATGAATGAGGGACTCAAATTGGGCACCTCTCTGGAAAATGGAGCAACTTTGTATGCTGTGCATCCAATGCCAACATCACCCACCCACAAAATGCCGCCTGCCAAGGCCTTCCACCTGCTGCCACCAGCAGAACTGCAGGCATTAGGTTTCCACCCAGACCTTCCCACCAAAACAGCCATAGTAACTCACAAAAACTGGATGAACCTTTCTCCACAAGTGAAAGGTAACCACCTCTTAACCCACTGCAGCCATCAACGAAAGGGTTTAAAATTGCTTTGCTAGTGTAATAGTATTCTGCTATATTTCATTTAATATTCTGTGGCTGTTTTTTCTTCTCAGTAATATTTTTCTTCTAATTGTTTTTGTTCACGATCATGACTGTTTCCCTTCTCAAAAATGATGAGGCAGGATGCATATTAAAATAGTGAGGATGTGGTACTGAATGCAGAAACTAGAAGATTTCCTTTCCTTTTGAGTTTCCCCTAGTCCTGTCTTTTGCTCTGTGGGGCTTTTAATTTAAGGAAAGCTTACTTTAATATTCTGTATGTTTTCTGTGCATTCACAAAATTTTATATCATATAATACAAGCAAATGGAATTAAAAATACAATCTGAAACTAATTGAATATAATGATGACAATATGATTAATTTAACAAAACTCCAAAACCAGAAAGTTGTGGTGGTAGATTTAATAGCAGCATATATTATGATCAAAGGTTGTTACCATGCTTAGGATTTAAGAAGATGAGGAAAATACCCTTACAGCACTGTGTAAAATTGCTAGTCAGCTCTTTTTAAGTATTGCACATTTCAGATATGAATTGCTTTCTACATGCAGCACAATTTTATCGTAATCCTTGAGTCTTTGCATTTTATCCCAACTAATCATTTTGTTTTCCTATTTACAGCAAATCTTGCTGGCAGGCCACAGGTAGGATACATTTTAGCAGCTTTTCAGTTGTTTATAACGCAAGTTGAAACTTACAGTGGGCTTTGTAATGAACTACAAATGTCCAGGGTCCGCCCCCCCCCCCTTCACCTTTACAGAATTCCAATTTTATGTCCTGGTCTAGAGGCAAGGAGAGTAGTAGGTTGTCCACCCATTGCTAATCTTAAGGGTGTTGAGCATATGAGAACGAGCCACTCTGACAACACTGTCTCTGTGGTGGCATCATGTGCAGGCAGCACAGAGCAATGCGAGAACAGCTCTCCCACTTTTTTGCTTGCTTTTCAAGGGAACCAGAGTCTGCATGACAGAAATAAGGTGAAAAATAAGGTGAAAAGTAGTTCTCAAAAGAACATGTTAAACACAGAACACTGACACAAACAGCTGATTTATCAGTAATATTACAATAATGATTTCTTTTTCGAATTTTATCTGCAGAAGCTTAGATAGGCAGGAACTAAAGAACACTGACTGTTAATAGCTCCCAGACTCTGTGTTTGAATGTATGAGATGAGCATCACAGCGTTCTTGCTTGCTTGTGAAGCTGGGTTTTCATGCGATTCCTCATTTGTCAGCTTCTTGCATGCTGTAGAAATCAGCCTTGTCGGCCCGTGCTCACTTGTTGCAGGATGTCACCCAAACCAGCTGCACTGGGGCAAGCAACCCTCGCTGCATCTACGGAGTGCTCTGTTGTGTGTGGTTCACAGCCATCAGATTGCATTTCTGCATCACTGCCAGTACGTTGCCACTGTCAATGTGGTGGCAATGTGTGCTTCCAGCTCCCTGGCAGGGCAGGGATTGCTTGCTGCGTGGAGCTGTTTTTGTAAGAAATCCATGGCAAGTGTGCAGTAGCCTATAATCTACACCTAAACAAACGCAATGGCTGTCTCTTCACCCACAGCTATGCAGTGTGGAGAGCGCACAGGAGATTGATAGTTGCTTATCACAGCAGATATGATCCTAAACCATGCTTATGGTTTGTTTAGCTTCAACCAAGTTTCCAAGCAGACAGTCAAACTAATTTGATTGTCAAGCTTAGTCCTGCCCCATGAGGGCATGGATAATGTTGCATCGGTGAGACCTAAAGAGGTTGGGCATGTATAGCCATCCTTTTTTAAGGTAAGGAAAGCAAGTCGTGGTTAAGCACTGACTCCACAGGGCCAATGTCGTGAATAGGCTCCCGTAAGATCTGCCACACACGTTGTGCTGCCTTGCTGTTGCTTTCAACCATGGCAGTTCTGCCAGAATTTAACTCCCAAGTATTTCTATTGAATGCAAGTCTCTGCCTGCAGATATTATGTCAGTAATAATGCTGAACATTCTTTTCTCCTAAACTGCAGGCAATGTGAAGTTTTATTTGGAAGACCACCTATTCTTCCTGCCATCCAGTAGAGGCCCTTTTCTACAAATGCCAGTATCAAGTTCCCGTAATTATATGGCTGCATGGGACCGTGTACTATACTGTTTAGCTCTGTGTGTTCTTATTTCCAATGAGAAAACACTTGAACTACCCAAAGATGAGGATGTTGTGATTTTATAATATTGTGTGTGTTTCCCCTCCTCATTCCCTCTCTATGCAAATGTAAATTAACAGACTGTGGAGTATTTGGAAATGGTTATACATATGTCATTGATTTATATAATATGCAGTATCAAGAAAGGGGGTGAGGGTTTAATATCCATTCTTTTTTGATATTGCTTAAGTGAATTGCATACAGAGTTTGGGGTAAAGTGTTACATTTATACATTCCTTTTAGCTTTTTGCATTTACCATTTCAAGTACCTTCTTTTCTGACTCTCATGCACAGGCTATTTCTACATAGCCTAATAGTTTCAAAACGTGAACAGCATATAAAATTCTCATAACCCTCACAGTTAGTATTTGACAAATACCATTTCTGGCTGCCTGTAAGCACATAAGACTCTATTTTGCCCCAGCTAACCTCATTCAACTGCAGTAAATGCTGGCACTAAAATAGCATTTTAATGGATTCTTTCTCCCAACTGAATACGGACTAATCGTTTCCTCCAGACTTTGTTTTGACTTTAAAATGTGAGGTAAACTGCATTTTGACTTCATACAGTCATTCTGGATATATGTGATTTTAGTTTTCTGCAGGGGAAACATTATGACCTAATTGTGCCAAAATCTGTCAAGTCATTTGTGTGAAGCACCAGTGCAAAAGTTAAGGTCCAAACATGAAATTATTGCATTCTCCTTTCTTAAACCTTAATAAATGAACAAACTCCGAACACTAGTGCAGAAAAGCATTCTTTTATGTCAAAACAATTAGCTGAATAATATCAGCCAGTTTCATCATGTACATCATCTTAAAGTGTTAGTGTACATGTTTTAAAGGGAGAGAAAACAGAGATTTGCCCTGTCATCGTTCCTTCACTGTTGCATTTGAGGATCTGCATGGGAATTCACCGCCATGGGTCAGTACGTTGCATGTGTGCAATCAGCAACGAGGGAGCCAAATGGCTTTGGGAAATTCCATTCTGTGATTTTCTGAATAGTTTTGTCCCGTAGTGAAGCCTGCTGTTGTATTTTACCAGGTGATGCCCATCAGAAGAGCTGATATCCAAAATAACTCTGTAGTCAGAGCCATAATCCCAGGGTGATACTTAGTTTCCTGATGCCGATCTCATTTCAATCATCAGTTTACTCATTTTTCACCTCTAAAGCATGGCCGGTAATAGTTTGAGCTGTGCTCAGAGGTATTATGAGGCTCAGATTAGGTTATGTATGTTACATATTCTGATGATTCCAAGTGCTATCTAAATGAAAAGTATTATTTTTTGAGTGGGGAGGGGGGAGTTGCCAAAAGCAGGAAACAGAAAAGCAGATTAATATGTGGATTTTTCATCTAGAAGGAAATATATTTTGGTATAATATTTTGAGAAGGAAAAAAAGTTTTGCAGAAAAGGAAAGCCATGACCACCTTTCTACCTCAAACCCATTTTTGAATATTTAATTTTGGAAACAGCTTAATGTCCTGGTTTTTGCAATGTCCTATTCTTTTGCCAGATCATCAAAGAAAAATAGCCCCCCTTTGAAAAGACTTTAGTAGAAATAATCCCAGTAATGAATATGATGGCTTTTTTGTTGTTGTTCTGACAAAAAGGTTATGTACGAATTGCTTTTCTGCTTGTGTTTGTATGCAAATTCTGTCCTCTACTTTGCTGACAAGTAAAAGCTACTTTCAAACATTACATTGTAACATTCTTCCTCTGAGACACTGATAAATAAAAAGGAATATGTTACAGTAACATCTCAAAAGAAAACGTATGTAGTTCTTTTGAATTTTGGTATTAAACTATCACACTTTCCTTTTCTAATCTGGTTACGTGGGATGACTTTCACTCTGAATAAAATTAATTTTTAAGTGAAGGCTGTTTGATATTCTTCATCCTAGAAGTAAACAAGATCTAAAAGCTTGTTCTCTGTGTGAGAACATTTCAAACTTCAAGGTGCCTTTATGAAAATGAAAGGTGTAGCCAAAAATATAGCTCAGTAAATCAGTGCATATTTTTCTGCCATTTTCTGTCTACAGAAACGCATGCTGCCAGCAATCAGTCTTTGCTGGTGACAGAGCTTAAATTTCAACCACCAATCAGTGAACTTGGCTTAAAGTATACTATTAATATTGAAAAGATTGGTGTGTGTTGCCCTATTCAGTGCAGGGCTGGAAAATGATTTTTAAATTTCACTGGTTTAGATTCAGCAGGCCTTTCATTTCTAATACAATGTTCTGTACTCTGGCAGGAAACCTAATTTATAACCAGTGGGATTTTATTACAACGTTAAACATACTAGATGCTAGGCATAATAATTCGCTGAAGCTGTGGCACTGTTCTGATAACCATTCTTTTGCAGAAGAAGCATTGATTTGATGTAGAAGACAGTAAGACCAGAACTGAATGTCATGGCCAAGAAGACACCACCCTGTGGCTTCATTGTGAGAAAAAAACCTGATTGTTGTTTGGGAGAAGATGCAGGTCTCAGAGCTGGCACAGACTTTAATAATACCCAGCGCTATAAATAACTGCTTATCTGAATAATCTACTCACGTGAATCATGTAACCTCTGGAGCAAAGGCTCATAGAAGATCACAGACTTGGCTTTCATGACTACAAAAATAACACAATGCAGTTCATCTTCTGTGAGCAATAAGGCATTAATTGATATATGGAAAAAAATAATGAAATAATTCAAAAGGCACACTATTGTTTCTGAGAAAGGCATTCCTACTTAATATCTGATTTAGTTTTTATGTGCATTTAACATTACTAATTTACCTAAGAAGAAGCTCATGTCTCCAAGTTCTTGCACTCAGAGGCCAAAACAGCCATTGTTTTAAATTCACACCTAATTTTTATTACTATTTTTAAAGGACACCTGATCCATCTTTTGAAAGTACTGCTGCACTCAGGTCTCAAGCCAGACCAAGTCCCCTGTGTTTACTCTTGAGTAAAAATGATAAACCTAGTTACCAAATGCATATTTAAAGCTATGTCTGTCATTTTTCCCACATTCAAGATTTAAAGCCAACACAAAGGTGGATGCAAAGGTCACAAGGTGAAGATGCGCACAATTCTGTATGCACACAAGAATGTCAAAAGATCTGAAATTTTCCTTCCCAGCAAAACTGCATGCCAAATACATCTGTAGGGAAAGATGTATTTGCAATGGGCATTGACCACTTGTTATTCTTATGGAAAGAGTATTTAGCCATACCTGAAGCCTTGACGTACCCTGGAAAGATTTGTTGACAATAAAGGCACAAACTCTGTACAATAGTTGTGTCACATTGCAGATCCAATAAGTCTTGCAGTTAAGCTGTTAGGACAGCTTTCCCCAACCTTGTGCCTTTCAGACATGTTTGGACTGCAACACTCAGAATTCCCAGTCAATGACCCTGCTGGATGGGAATTATGGTCCAGACACCTCTGAAGGCCACCAGGTTGGGAAAGGCTGTGTTAGGAGATTTAAATCAGAAGCACATGAATATTATGTAAATTTCTATGTCACCTAATAGCCAAAATTTTCTGGTGGTTTACTAAAGTTCCTGAACAGGACCATGATGCAGTAAGAATAACTATTCTTCAGCTCTCCATTCTAATGCATTCCAAAAGAAAATGATTTGACATCTGGTAGTTGTGTGTGTGAATTTACCCTCGTAGGTATCATTTTCGGCATCTAACAGAGTGTGTTTATACTTCTGATCCATTCTTAGCAGTTTGGGATGCCATGCTATGCATGTTGAGTCAGAAAAATATCTTTCGGCCCCCAACATACCAATAGCAAGCAAGGAGTTGTAATATTTCTTTCCTGTGTAAACCTGCATAGGGTGGCACTCTTTGCTCCTTCAAAGCTGCTTCGCTTTCTGCCTTATTTTTAACAGGCAAAACTTTTACCCACACAGTATCTCCAAGTTGAGCCATGCTCCTTTGGGATTGATTATGCTGGACAGATGGTGGAAGACACAGCAATCACTAGCATTGTTTTGTCTCTTCCGAAAACAATTCCAGAAGATATGGCCTAAAGCTAAGACTTTATGCAATTGGTCTTTCCTACTGAGAAGTAGTCACTGAACAGTGCTGTTAAAGATTATCAGTGCAGTTCTTACCTTTACATGGATAGACACTTGTCACCAAAGGGAGAACATCACCCCTCCTATCAGCAATTTTATGACCCATTAGCTATTAACCCAGCAAGTCTGAAAAGCAGAGAAATATAAAATGTCCAGCACACTCCTCCTCAGATATTTCTAGTTCATGCAACAGTGGTCCACCTCTGCTCAAAAAAGGATGCCTCTGTAAACTGGCAAATCTTTCGAGCCATTTTTTCTAGGCAGTAAAAACACAAGCCGAGCATTCTGGCATCAGAAAGACAAAGCACCTGTTTTGCCTGCAGTCCTAACTCTCTTTGACAAATTTCACTGGGCTGATGTGTCTCCAGCAGTACCAAGAGGTGATCAATCACACTTCTCAAGTTTTCTCAATACTGTAGTAAGAAGGGGTGCCATTTCTTGCTCTCCCCACCTCCCAAAAAAAGAAGCACATGCAGGAGTATTTAAATATTGCTCTGGGAAACTTAAAGTGCAATAGCATGTCATGCATCTAAAATGAGCAATGGGAAAATCCAGATCTTTTGAAATTTACCTAATAGGGCTTGTATGAAATTCTATCCAATTCTGAACATTCACCATTAAGAAAACCCAGAAAGTAGTCTTAGTCCACTATAAAACCTGTATTTATAGTGAACTAAGGGGCGGCATACAAGTTCCCCAAATAAATAAATAAATATTAGTGTGTGGCAGGACCCATGACAGAGTCTAGGAATGAAAAAGTGAGCAAGCCTTTCTGAGCCTAACAATGTGTTTGCCACCACTAATGGGATCTGAAGTTTCTCTACTTCTGCTGTCAGAATAAGGAGCCTTTTCCTGCTCCTAACTAAGCAGAACTGAATCACTCAGCCACACTTTCAGAAAGCATCCCAATTCATTTCTACTGTTGAGTAAGCAGGGCAAGCTCAGAATCCAGTGCACACCACCCACTTTCCCACAGCCCAGCTGGGGAGACAGGGCAGGGCTTGGGCCAGAAGCTGGCAAGCAGGTCAGCTGGGCACTGCAGAAAGTGAGTGGGGTGTCCCCAGCCTGGTGGGCCAGACTGCAGGTTGTGCAACTTCCCAGCTGTCTTCACCTGTTTTTCCTTGTTAAAGTGAAGAGTAGCTGCTGCTATGAGCTGCAAAGCTCCTGCTTCAGGGAGGGGGAAGAGTTTAACTGCATAAGAAGATACAGGCCTTTTGCTGTGACTACTCATGGATCAGTTTCTTGCTTTGTAGCAGATATAAACGTAGGTAATGGAGTCAAGTTCCCCCGTCATTTCTCTAGGATTGCATCTTTTGAACCATATGACTCAAGACGCCAGCCTTTCATGAGCTGGCAACCTCCAGATGTTTTGGACTTCAGCTACCATTAGCTCTAAGGGCCAGGAATTCTGGGAGCTGTAGTTCAAAACATTGGAGGGCCTTGGCCAGGGAACGGCAACCTTAAACACTCAAAGAGCCATTTGGACCTGTTTCCCAGAGAAAAGAAAACACTGGGAGCCACGAAACCCTTTTGACATCTAAAATGAAGATAACACTGCATATATCGTTTTTGCTATGTATAAAAAAACTATAATGTGTTGCATTTATGAAATCATTGAATGAGTCTTTTATATAATCTCTATCTGGGAATGGCTTCCCGTGCCTGACTATTTCCTAAGTGGCCACAAAACTAGCATATGGAGTTGAATTTGCAGACTTAATCCACTTCTTGAGATGATTTATGTTCAGATCAACCTTCTGCATCAGTTCCGAAATGGCTGTTTTCTCTCATCTCCATCCGGATATTTTTCAGCAAAGGCTGTGTGTTTATTCTGGAAATGTCTTGCAACATTCGACTTTTTGTTGTTTGCCAATTTCTCACCACATATTGGTAAACCAGTCTTGTCAGCAGTGAAAGCAAATGAATCTGCCCACGTACCATTAAGCATTCTCTTTTCTTCTGAAACTTTTCTTGGATTTATCCATGGTTGGCCTACCATGGTTGAAAAGCTCAATAAATTGCATGCTGGCAGGTGTCACACATTGGCGGTTGTGACACATATTTTGAGTGACAGGGAGCCGCAGCAGAGGGATGAAAGAGGCACATGCGGCTCCGGAGCCTAGGCTAATGGTGGCGAACCTATGGCATACACGCCACAGTGGGCATGCAGAGCCCTCTCTGTCGGCACACAAGCCAAGTCACCCCAGCATCACCCCAGCAGCCAAGCGTCGGATAACAGTGCACATAGGGGCCATGCGCATGCTCGGAAAGAAGTAGCAGCACCAGGTAGTGATGTCACGAGCCGCGACTCATTAGTCACGACTCGTCCGAGCTTTCGCATGGCCGGTCAGTGCACTGCCAAGGACGTATATATATTTGCTTGGACTGGGTGTGAGTTGTTTTTTCTAAACTAAAACCTCAGTTTTACGGTTTTATTGCAGTGTTGGCACTATGCGATAAATAAGTGGGTTTTGGGTTGCAGTTTGGGCACTCGGTCTCTAAAAGGTTCACCATCATTGGCCTAGGCCAATCTTTGCGTGATCTGTGAGTATATGCCATCTGAAGAAACTTGCCTCTGTGGAGCTGAGAATACAGAATCCCCCAGTGCATCCTCACTGGTTGCAATTATTTTTCTGAAAGATTTTACACTATAAGGAATCACTGTGGCTTGGAAAAATGTGAATGTTCAGGATATTGTATGTTGTGCTAGATATATGTCTATAGAAGAAATGGTAGTGAAATTAGACCAAACACAGCCCAGTTGGGACAGGTGCTACAATTGGGAAATTATATAGTA